TCGTGGGAACGATACTCGAAATTTTACATTTTTCACTTTATTACTTGTCAACTAACCGTACACTTTCTGTAATTTAATTTCGATACATATTTTCGTTAATAGCAAGTGACAACGATTTTCAACCATTCATTAGAGACAGTACGTTATTACTTCAAGGAGGTCCTTCATGCCGTTGTTGCATTATCCACTCGACTAATATAGCCAAGCCCAAACTACAACGAGGGCGAAGAGCCCCACAGGCCGGACGCAAATAAGCATCCCCTATTTGCAGATTGCATTGGGGCAATTGATGAAACGCATGTAAAAGCAATGCTTCCGCGTCACGAGCGGGTGATCTTCATTGGACGGAAAGGAATGTCAACGTAAAATGTTTTGACAGCTTGTAATTTTAATATGCACTTCACCTTTGTGCTTGCCGGTACAACCGGGAATACGCACGATACTCGTATACTAGCTCGAGCTATACATAGTCTAGAAATTCATTTTCCATTACCAACACTGGAAAAATATTATTTGGTTGACTCTAGATTTGCACATCGACCGAGATATATAGCCCCTTACAAAGGGTCGGATATATTGTACCATTTCCAACAATTTCGTAACGATGGGACAAGTCGTCGTTGTCGATTTTGCAATGCTCGTGCGAGGTTCAACTACAAACACTCGTCCTGCAAGAACGTAATTGAACATACTTTTGATGTGTGGAAGGAAAGATGGAAAATCCTCTATCGTATGCCTAGCTACTAGTTTAGCACTCAATCAGCGATTGTCATCGCAACGATGGGTGTTCATAATTTTTTACGGCGTTCCGGAGTGGTGGACGTGGTGTTTCGTACAGCAGAAACCGATGAGGATGCTTTCGAGGTGGAGCTACCAACCGCTGAGGACGAAATACATGCCGAAATGAACGCTCCCAAAATGCAGCGAAGTAATTGGGACAGACTTTATCAAGCTTCATCTGGACAATAAGGAGATCATTTCTTTGCCCAAAAATTAATGGAATCTACACTATGCATGATGAACTTTTAGTAGGT